GTAAAGATTTTTTTCTGTCACCCTACTTGGGCTCTGAAACTCTATGCCAGGGCTTTTACCCCTCAGGGACACCTTTCTCACACCAGTTGGACTCCAAAAGCCTGTATTGGGCCATCGTTGCCACTTACACCACCCAGTTTGATGCCCACTTAGCTTGTACTCACTTAATGGCTGTTGAAGTTCATTTTTCAGGTAGGAAAGGAGATGAGGGAGAAGAGGAATCGAATTTTATTTTCCATATTAAAAATCTTGCTAGTATTTTTTTTTTTTTTTGCGGTTCGCGGGCCTCTCACTGCTGTGGCCTCTCCCATTGTGGAGCACAGACTCCAGATGCGCAGGCCCAGCAGCCATGGCTCACGGGCCCAGCCGCTCTGCGGCATGTGGGATCCTCCCGGACCAGGGCACGAACCCGTGTCCCCTGCATCGGCAGGCGGACTCCCAACCACTGCGCCACCAGGGAAGCCCTCTCGCTAGTATTTTTACAGCAAATGCTTTTAACCTAGTGCATTGTAGTTTATACAGAAGCTAGTGTTTCCCACATCTGTATAATGCTTACAGGTTTATACCCATGCTTTCATGCCATATTTTTACTCACATACTAGAGGTTTATTATCATGTTATGTTTATGATTTCTGAGCTTATCTACTCCACCCCCCACCCCAACACCCTGAAACCCACAGGTGGTTTTCAATTTACATGTGTCTGTCAGTGCTACCACCATTCTTCCAGTCATTCATTTGAAATCTTGGGTTATTTCTGACTCATCTTTCTTTGTTCCTTTCGTCAGTCAGTAAGTCCTGTTGATCTTTCTCTTTATGTAAGTTTGTCTTCTCTTTGCCCATTACTTTGATGATTAACGTGGCCACTTGGGTGGGACTCCTTTTCTTTAGTTTCTGAGTCAGTCCAGTTCCCCTAAACCACCTTTGGCTCCACATTTTTAAATAAATGAACGAACTCCATGTGTGACTTTTTAAGTGCCTTTGTTTTTTTTTTTTTGGCCATACCGTGGCGACATGCAGAACTTCCCCAAGCAGAGATTGAACCCATGTCCCCTGCAGTGGAAGCACAGAGTCTTAACCACTGGGCCACCAGGGAAATCCTTAAGTGCCATTTTTACATGGCATTATTCTAGGTAGTCAGAGTATCTAGTTTGAATCCCATATTTACCACTTGCGTGGTACCCATTCACTTTTGGTAATTTATTTAACCTCTCTGGATCTTTTTTACTTACTAGATTGTTTTACAGGTGAGTAAGATAATGAATCGCGAAAGAGATTTATCCAAAACGCATACCTTTCAGCCTGGTAAGATCAGTCTCAGTAAAGTAAACAGTGTTATTTTATCAGTATTCTCACTGTTCTATAAGCAAAAACTGTTTCCTTACTTTTCTTTGATATGTAGCTTTCAATGATCACTTGCCATTAAGAGCACATTTATTGAGCATCTACTATGACCACATGCTGGAGATTAAAAAAAAGACATGACTCATATCTGAGAAATACATTATGATAGACGAGGCAAACATAATTAATTTACATACAGTAACAAGTGCTACAATAAAATTAAAAACTGTGTCTGAACTTTTTAAAAATTAGAAATTTTAACTAAACTTATATAGCAGCTATTGTCTAACACAGTTTAGTATGTTATTGTATTTTTCCTTGTAGTTACTATTTGTGTTAATTTATCTCCCTCAAATAGAGTGTAAACTACTTGAGAATGGGTCTTTATAGTGGTAAGTGTAGATTTTGGGAGACAAACACATTGTGGTCTTATTTCTGCCACTGACATTTAGTCACTGTAACTTCTCTGAACTTGAGTTTACTCTCCTGTTAAAGTGAAAATACTAATAATTATTTGACAGGATTGTAATGATTAAGTGAAATAATGTTTTTAAGGATCTAGCACAATGACTGGCAAACAATTTATGCCTGATAAATTTTGTTTCTCCTCTCCTTGTACTCCACTTGTGTCTGTTCTGCTAATGAACACTAAATATTTGATTAATGGATGAATTTATTGATTCAATGATCTGCAGTTCATAATGGCTTCCCAGAACATTTTGAAATGCAAGTGGCATTCATGGGAGCCTGTTCTTGGTAATGATGGCACTTTATATATTTTTCTTTTGTACTTGAAGTTTTTTTTTTTAATATTTATTTATTTGGCCGCACTGGGTCTTAATTGTGGCATGCAGGATCTTCAGTTGTGGCATGTGGGATCTTTAGTTGCAGCATGCAGTCCTCTTAGTTGCGGCATATGGAATCTAGTTCCCTGACCAGGGATTGAACCCAGGCCCCCTGCATTGGAAGTGTGGAGTCTTAGCCAGTGGAGCACCAGGGAAGTCCCTGTACTTGAAGTTTTTAGATCCCTTATTTTAATTTTATCCAAACCTTGTGCAGTAAGGGTAGGCAGATATGATTATCCTATGTGACAGTGTGAGTTTCATTTTTGAAGTGAGTGAACTAAATTGGGATTCTTTTTTTAAAATTTATTTATTGGCTGCATCAGGTCTTAGTTGTGGCATGGGGGATCTTGCTTTGCGGCGCGCAGGCTTCTCTGTAGTTGTGTTGCACGGGCTCAGTTGCCCCGCAGCATGTGGGATCTTAGTTCCCTGACCAGGGATCTAACTGGCGTCCCCTGCATTGCAAGACAGATTCTTAACCACTGGACCACCAGGGAAGTCCCTAAATTGGAATTCTTAAGAGCCAGTCATTGAATTTGTATAGGTAGAGTGTGAATGTATTACATGGCCTATGGAATACTATAGTTCTCTTGGCCTGAATTTTTTAGTTGATATAGTAGTGAAAAGGGAATTCTTCTATTCCATGGCTTAAGGATACATAAACTCTCAATGCAGCAATCTTTTTATTGTTCATTATTATAGCTTCTTTTACTCTTAGAAGTTGACCAACAGGGACCTGAGTTTAGGAGATTTTGTCTTTCAGCTTTCATATAGTAAATGCTAAGGCCAGCCCTTTGCCTGCAGGGCCTTCTATCAGTGAAGAGGAACTGTGGCTTTTTCCAGGCAGCCAAATAGGGGGAGGAGTCAAGATTTTCAGTGTTCTTTGTGAAAATGAATTTGTGCTGTTGAACCTCATGGGTATTAGATACTATATTCTCCTTAAAGCACTGCAGGCCCCTTGTTGCAACATTTCAGTCTCTTTTTCTGATTCTTTCAGGTAGTAGAAAACATGTTTCAGGCATTTAAAAACATGCTGTGTATGCTTTTTAAAAGCTAGTAAACTCATTCAATTGATTAACAGACTTCAGTTGTAATAAATTATTGGCCCACCGTTTTTTGGAGTACTTTGCAGCATACTGTCCTTATATCAGTTATAGATAATGTGAACAATGAATACCATATTTTGTTTCCTTTTTTTTTTTTTTTTCTTGCGTTATGCGGGCCTCTCACTGTTGTGGCCTCTCCCATTTGCGGAGCACAGGCTCCGGACGCGCAGGCTCAGTGGCCATGGCTCACGGGCCCAGCCGCTCCGCGGCATGTGGGATCTTCCCGAAACGGGGCACGAACCCGCGTCTCCTGCATCGGCAGGCGGACTCTCAAGCACTGCGCCACCAGGGAAGCCCTTTGTTTCCTTAATATTTCTTCAGCTAAAGTGTTTTAAGAAGAAAAAAGTCCCATGATGATAATAAATATTTCAAAACTTATAAAGTTTAATATTATGTGCACTGACTGTTATATTTCAAAATATTTTTCTGTTTTTATATGTGCTGTGATCAGGTATTTAGTTTTTTAGTATTATTAGACGGTAATAGCACCCAAGTTGATGGACAGAGCTTCAGCCTGGGATACATTGAGGGAAACCTAAATATTGTAAAAATTCTTCTAAAAGATACAGTGTTTCATAAAGCTACAGGAGGAGTACCACTAATATTGTTTAATTAATACTACTAATATTGTTTAATTAGTACTACTAGAACTCATAATTTCTACCTTGTTTTTGTTTGTTTGCTACTGAATACACTACATGTATATTCACACTTACACATTTGTTTTTGTTTTTTTAGAAGGTTTTAGGACCAGCAGTTATTTGGGGTTCTCTTTTTTTCCTTTTTTTCTGTCCCTGTCTCTGCTTCTTTCTTTCTTGTTGTTTTCCCTTCTGTTTGGATTGCTTCCTGCCTCCTCCCTCCAATATTCCCACCCCCCTTAATCCATCTGGAAAGATGAAGAGGCAGCTGCTATGGTAGCAGACTAACAAGACACATAAAACATATGCAAACTGTGCAGAGTTAGTTGCTGTCAAAGCGGTAGGGGTATAATACTTTTTCTTTTCCTTCTCCCCACCTTCTAAAAAAAAACTTTAACTTTCCTGTTATATTTTGTCTTCTAAGTTACCATTTCTAATATTGAAATGCTACCGTGAATAGTTCCTTTTTTCTGCTTAGTCTGCACAATATTTCACTCTGTGGTGAGTTTATAGATGAGTTGAGGTGTGTAGAGGAAAAGAGTTGATTAATTGGGTTAAGAAGTAGATTTCCTGGGCTTCCCTGGTGGCGCAGTGGTTGAGAGTCCGCCTGCCGATGCAGGGGACACGGGTTCGTGCCCCGGTCTGGGAAGATCCCACATGCCGTGGAGCGGCTGGGCCCATGAGCCATGGCTGCTGAGCCTGCGCGTCCGGAGCCTGTGCTCTGCAACGGGAGAGGCCACAACAGTGAGAGGCCCACGTACCGCAAAAAAAAAAAAAAAAGAAGTAGATTTCCTTTAGATTCATACATAGAAGGTGAACAGGGATAAAAATTTTTATTAAATATTTGGCTTCTTGACCTATAACTTTTTTTTCTTGCTTTTTGGCCACTAGTGTCCCTTTTGAGTTTCCCTCTGGGGTTAGAACTAGTTAGTAGTATGTTTCTTGAAGATGTGTCTATCATAAAGGCAATCTGCAACTGGAATATTGTATTTAGCCAAGCCTTGAAAATTCCTGTAATCTGTGCCATCCTGTCTCATACTGTCCCATCTCATAGTTGTCCTCTCTCTGCAGTGCTCTATGCCCAGGTCTCTGTGGCTGGGCTGCTCCAGCCTGGCGGACAGCATGCCTTCGCTGCGATGCCTGTATAACCCAGGGACTGGCGCACTCACAGCTTTCCAGGTACTTTCTCTGTCTCTGTGGGTTATTTGTGGTCATTAGTATGTGTGTCTAATTAATTGATGTGTCTCTCCTTCTTTCCCATCCTTTACTTACGTTCACTTTTCTCCTTCATGTTGCCTATATTTCACATCACTCAGTTCTCTAATTTATAATGTAGATCCAGATCCATCCACTCTCGAGACATTTTTATTATCATGATTGGTTTGCCAAAATTGACATAGCGCAACTTGACTTGTTGGTTTTCATACCTAGTAGAAGTATGATAGTGAATAAATAATAATAATAAATAGCATTTATTAATAATATTAATAATTAATTAATAGCATTCAATATGTAATGTTTGCTCTGGACCTACATAAAGCCAATTAATATAATCAATCAATTAATTACAGCCAGTTGCCTGGGCACCTTCTTGTGTTTTTCTTGTGCTTACTAAAAATATAAAGTGCTCTATTCAGAGTATCTCCTGCCTACTATACTATTATATATGTGTGTGTTTGTATATGTTCTTTTGGGTTTTTTTAAATAAATAAATTTATTTATTTATTATGGCTGCGGTGGGTCTTCGTTGCTGCACGCAGGCCTTTTCTAGTTGTGGTGAGCGGGGGCTACTCTTCATTGTGGTGTGCAGGCTTCTCATTGCAGTGGCTTCTCTTGTTGCAGAGCACGGGCTCTAGGCGGATGAGCTTCAGTAGTTGTGGCGCACGGGCTTCAGTAGTTGCTCTAGAGCACAACCTCAGTAGTTGTGGTGCATGGGCTTAGTTGCTCCATGCCATGTGGGATTTTCCCAGACCAGAGCTTGAACCCGTGTCCCCTGCATTGGCAGGTAGATTCTTAACCACTGCGTCACCAGGGAAGTCCCCAGTTACTTGGCTTTAATGAAAATACTTACTTTAATGTAAGTATTTTAGTGATGATGATGCTGGATATTTGTCCTTTGCAAAACTTCCTTTGCTTGTCTTATGAGGTACAATATGGTGAAGGGCATAGGCTTTAAAATTAGTTAAATCAGGGCTTATGTTACTGTCTGTCACTAGTGGTATGATCTTGAGCAAGTCATGTTCACTCTAAATTCATCTGTAAATGGAGACTGTAGTAAGGGCATGCAGTAAATAGTTGCTGTTATCATCATCCTTATCTTCATTGTCATTAATATTATTGCTGTTAATGTTAGAGAATATTGATATCCTGAGAGTATCAATTTATTTCAAACATAGTATTTTTGTTTGTTTGTTTGTTTTTTACTATATATCATATTGATGAAGTTTCGGCTCTCAAGGAACTCAGTCTAGCTTTTTGGTTTTTTAAAATCTTATTGGGGTTGCAGTGAGTTTCACCAGACTGCAGTCTGAGATAACAGTCCCTATAAGACTTCCCTCCTTCAGATACCAGTTGTAAGGAGGGCCCACCCCGCCACCCCACCTCAGGTTTGGTAACTCAATAGAAAGGACTCACAGAACTCACTGAAAGCTGTTATATTCACAGTTTATTACAAAGAGAGGATACAGGTTAAAATTAGCAAAAAAAAGAGACATACAGGATAGAATCTGGAGGGAACCAAATGTAGAAATTCCTGTCATCCTCTCCCCATGGAATCATGGATGGCATTACTTCCTCTGGGCCACGGTATGTGACAATACATACAGGATATTGCCAATCAGGGAAACTCACCCGAGCTTTTTGTGTACAGAGTTTTTATTGTGGCTCAATTACAGGCTGCTCACATGGCTGACTTTTAGTCTCTAGCCCCTCCTGTAGGTTACACTAATGCTTTTAGTCTCTGTTCCTTCTTAGGATTGGAACTGAGTGTGGCTCAAAGCCCTCATCATGAATCACATTTGTCCTGTGGCCAAAGCCCCCAGTCAAAGTTCTGTTAGGTAAGAAGTTCCAGGGGGATACCACCTGCCAGTAACCAAGGGGAAAGACCAGGCCTCTCTTTGGGTAAGATTAATTCTTCAGTACACAGGGGTCATGTACTCCTTTGAAAATCTGATGAGAACTACTGAACTTGGAAAAGTACTCATGACATATAGGCAAAATTTTATTTATAAGTTTTACATATTATGATTATTATATTTATATTATCTTAAGCTATTAAATTACTGTTTTTTTTAACATCTTTATTGGAGTATAATTGCTTTACATTGTTGTGTTAGTTTCTGCTGTATAACAAAGTGAATCAGCTCTACATATACTTATATCCCCATATCCCCTCGCTCTTGCATCTCCCTCCCACCCTCCCTATCCCACCCCTCTAGGTGGTCTCAGAGCACTGAGCTGACCTCCCTGTGCTATGAGGCTGCTTCCCACTAGCTATCTGTTTTGCATTTGGTAGTGTATATATGTCAATGTCACTCTCTCACTTCGTCCCAGCTTACCCTTCCCCCTCCCCACGCCCTCAAGTCCATTCTTTACGTCTGCATCTTTATTCCTGTCCTGCTTCTAGGTTCTTCAGAACCTTTTTTTTTTTTTTTAGATTCCATATATATGTGCTAGCATACAGTATTTGTTTTTCTCTTTCTGACTTACTTCACTCTGTATGACAGTCTCTAGGTCCATCCACCTCACTACAAATAACTCAATTTCGTTTCTTTTTATGGCTGAGTAATATTCCATTGTATATACATGCCACATCTTCTTTATCCATTCATCTGTTGATGGATACTTAGGTTGCTTCCATGTCCTGGCTGTTGTAAATAGTGCTGCAATGAACATTGTGGTACGTGACTCTTTTCATTATGGTTTTCTCAGGGTATATGCCCAGTAGTGGGATTGCTGGGTCACATGGTAGTTCTATTTTTAGTTTTTTAAGGAACCTCCATACTGTTCTCCATAGTGGCTGTATCAATTTACATTCCCACCAACAGTGCAAGAGGGTTCCCTTTTCTTCACACGCTCTCCAGCATTTATTGTTCGTAGGTTTTTTGATGATGGCCATTCTGACCAGTATGAGGTGATACATCATTGTAGTTTTCATTTGCATTTCTCTAATGATTAGTGATGTTGAGCATCCTGTCATGTGTTTGTTGGCAATCTGTATATCTTCTTTGGAGAAATGTCTCTTTAGGTCTTCTGCCCATTTTTGGATTGGGTTGTTTGTTTTTTTGATATTGAGCTGCATGAGCTGCTTATATAGTTTGGAGATTAATCCTTTGTTAGTTGCTTCGTTGGCAAATATTTTCTCCCATTCTGAGGATTGTCTTTTCGTCTTGTTTATGGTTTCCTTTGCTGTGCAAAAGCTTTTAAGTTTCATTAGGTCCCATTTGTTTATTTTTGTTTTTATTTCCATTTCTCTAGGAGGTGGGTTAAAAAGAATCTTGCTGTGATTTATGTCGTCGAGTGTTCTTTGTTTTCCTCTAAGAGTTTTATGGTGTCTGGCCTTACATTAAATTACTATTTAAATTATGTAACCCCCAAATCCCCCAAACTAATAAGTTCTGTTAAGGAAATGTTGCAGGAAGGGGGACCGCTTCTAGGGGGTGAGAGTGGGCTCTTGTCTAACACTTGGAAATGAATTGTCTGAGGAGACACATGTGCTGACAAAGCAAGAGACTTTTTGGGAAGGGGTGCCTGGGCAGAGAGCAGCAGGGTAAGGGAACCCAGAACTGCTCTGCCACTGCTCTGGCTTGCAGTCTCAGGTTTTATGGTAATGGGGTTAGTTTCCGGGTTGTCTCTGGCCAATCATTCTGACTCAGGGTGCTTCCTGGTGGCACGCGCATCATGCAGCCAAGATGGATTCCAGTAGGAAGGATTCTGGGAGGTTGGTAGGACATATGGACTGGCATCTCCTCTGTCCTTTTGACCTTTCCCTAATTCTTATGGTTGGTGATAGCTTGTCAGTTTCTGCATTCTTTACCAGGATCTCCTGTTGTAAGGTACCTCATGCAAGTGGTTACTATCCAGCCTGGCCAGGGCAGGCGGTTTCGGTCAGTGGTTACCCTAACAGAAATGTGCAGGGAGCCATAAGAATATATAAAACAGGAACCTGATTTAACCTGAGGGTGGGGGTAAGGAAGATCAGGTAATCAAGGTTTGAGTTAAGAACTGAATGATGAGTAGGGATTAGGCAAAAAGGGAGGTGGGGGAGAACATTTCAGGCCAGTTCAGAGGCCCTGAGGACAGGTGGGGTTTTGTGCATTTAAGGACTCTGCTGGGAAAAAAAAAAAAAAGAAACCTATCCTTTCAGAGAATGAGGAGAATAGAGGATAATAGAGTTAGGGAAGACTGGGGAAGCTTGATCATGGCAGGATTTGTTGGCTATCGAATGTTTCATCTTGATGCTAAGAGTACTAAGCTGTTGAAAGTTTTTTTTTTAATAAATTTATTTATTTTATTTATTTATTTTTGGCTGCATTGGGTCTTCGTTGCTGTACGTGGGCTTTCTCTAGTTGCGGCATGTTCTAGGGGCTGTTCTTCCTTGCGGTGCGCGGGCTTCTCATTGTGGTGGCTTCTCTTGTGGAGCCTGGGCTCTAGGCACATGGGCTTCAGTAGTTGTGGCTCGTGGGCTCTAGGGTGCAGGCTAAGTAGTTGTGGGGCACAGACTTAGTTGCTCTGCGGCATGTGGGATCTTCCCGGACCAGGGCTCGAACCCCTGCCCCCTGCATTGGCTGGAGGATTCTTAACCACTGTGCCACCAGAGAATTTCCTGTTGAAAGTATGTAAACACAAGTTTGACCTGATCAGATTAGCATTTAGATGTATTACTCTAGCTATCATAAAGATAATTTCAGTAATTGAGGGAAGAGATGTGGGCAGTTTGGTTTTGATGTCAGGACTCCTTTGCACTCTTAAAAATTATTGAGGACTCCAAAGTGGTTTTGTTTATATGGGGTATATCTATTGATATTTATTATATTTGAAATTAGAACTGAGAAAAAATTTAAATATTAATTTATTCATTAACTGACTAAAATAGTTACAATAATTCCATTATATGTTAATGCATATGAATGTTTTTATTTAAAAATACTATTTTCTAAAACAAAAATTTAAGACTAGCA